GCCATAGGGTTGCACAAAGTCAGACACGACTGAAGTGACTTAGCATGCATGCATGGGTGGACCTAGAGATTACCATGCTAAGTGAAGTTAGAGAAAGACAGGTATCTTACGATATCACTTATGTGGAATCTAAAATATGACACAAATGAACATATATACAAAACAGACTCACAGACATGGAGAACAGGCTTGTGGTTGCCAAGTTGTCAGGGAGTTGGGGAGGGAAGGATTGGAAGTTAGGGATTAGCAGACACAAACTATTAATATAGGATGAATAAACAACAAAATCCTACTGTATAGCACAGGGAACTATGTTCAGTATCCTGTGATAATCCGTAATGGAAAATATGAAAATACGAAAAAGACTATGTATGTATAACTGAGTTGCTTTCCTGTATAGCAGAAATTAACACAGTATTGTAAATCAGTCTACAGTAAAATTTTTTAAAGTGTAATGTCTACCAACAAAAAATCAGTTTCAATTACTATAAATATGTATCTACATGAAAAAGAAAATTTAAAAATTTCTCAAATTTTTTTATTGTGGTAAAATATACATGACATAAAATTGACCATTTTAACCATTTTTAAGTGTACAGTTTAGTGGCATTAAGTACACTCATTTTGTTGTGCAGCTATCACCACCATCCATCTCCAGAACTTTTTCATCATTGGAAGCTGAAACGGTACTCCTTAAACACTGACTCCCTGTTTTCTGCCTCTCGGCAGCCCCTGGTAGCCACTATTCTACTTTCTGATTTTGAATTTGACTCTTCTGGGTACCTCACATAAATGGAATCATAGAATATTTGTCTGTATCTAACTTATTTCACTTAGCATAATATAGGCAAAGTGCATCCATGTTGCAGCATGTATTAGTATTTCATTCTTTTTATGGCTAAATAGTACCCCTGTGTGTCTGTGTGTGTGTGCGCCACACTTTGTCCATCCATTCATCTGTGGGTGGGCACTGGGTCGTTTTCGCCTTTTGGCTGTTGTGCTGCTGTGTACATGGGTGGACAAAGGTGGCTACTGGAGTGCCTGCTTTCGCTGCTCTTGGTAAATACCTTGGAAGTGGAATTGCTAGGTTATATGGTAACTCTTTGTTAAACTTTTTGAGGACCACCAAACTGTTTTCCACAGCAACCACACCATTTTACAGTCCTACCAGCAATGCACCAGGGTTCCAGTTTCTCCATATCTTGATAATACTATATTTTCCATTTTTTTTAATAGTCATCCAGATGAGTGTGAAGTGGTATCTGGTTTTGATTTACATTTCTCTAATGATTAATGATGTTGAGCATCTTTTATATGCTTTTCATATACAAATTATTATCTTATTCTTTGAAAAACATGTCTATCTAAACCCTTTGTTTAGTTTTCGTTGTTGAGTTTTAGGAGTTCTTTATGTATTCTGGACATTATCAGTATATGATTTGGAAATTTTTCTCTCAATCTGTGGGTTGTCTTTTCGTTCTCTTGCTGTTGTTTGACATGTAAAAGGTTTTAATTTCGATCAAGCTCACTTTATCTAATTTTTTTTTGTTTGTGCTGTGGTGGTGTATCCAGGAAATTATTGCTAAATCTAGTGCTTCCCCTGTTTTCTTCTAAGAGTTTTATACTTTTAGCTCTTTAGTTTAAATCTTTGATCTATTATTTATTTTTAAAATTAAACTTTTTTTGAGATAATTGTAGATTCACATGTAGTTGCAAGAAAAAATAAAGCGATTAAGAAGTACAGAATTCCAGTTGTAAAATTAAATCATGGGAATGTAATGTATAGCATAGGGAATGTGGTCAATAATATTGCAATAATAATAGTCTTACAGTAACTTTTCTGTGGTGATGGATATTACTAGACTTGTGGTGATCAATTTGTAATGTGTGTAACCGTCAAATCCCTATGTGGTACACCTGAAACTGATATTGTATGTCAACTATATTTCATTTAAAAAAAAAATAAAAGAATACAGGGAGATCCTGGGTATCCTTACCAACATTTAGTCTATCTACATTTTGTAAAGTCATTGATACATTTGGATTTAATCTACCATCTTACTATTTACTTTCTGTTTGTACTGGCTCTCCTCTGTTCACTTTTCTCTCTGGTCTTGGCTTCTTTTGAGTTGGTTAATTTTTATTCCACTTTTATTCTTCTGTTAGCTTGAAAGTTCTGTGCTTATTTCCCAAGATTTTGGTGATTACTCTGGAGTTTAAACACAGATCATGTTTTAACAAAGAGTACTGATAAGGTGTACTTTTAACTCCTTCCAGGACGATGATAGGCTTTTAGGACACTTTAACTTCTTTTGCCATGTTGTTATTTATCTTTCTGTTTTAAATCACACAAAACATTATTGTTTTATACAGCTAAATATTTATTTATATTTTTAGTCTCATACTTAATTTAGTCATTGGTCTTCATTCCTTCTTGAATCTTTGACTTCATGTCTGGATCTGGATCACATTTCTCCCTGAAGAATGAAAGATAGTGTTTTTGTTGGAAAATGTCTTAATTTCACCTTTTTTTTTTTTTAAAGGGGATTACATAAGTTGATCTATTTATTATAGGCTAGCAGTGGTGGTGCTTCTGCTGGTCCTGTAGTTCCTTCAGTCTTCTGAGCCCTGACCTTCCTGTGACGGCAGAAGTGGCGACGTTGGTTCAGGCACCACTAGCTACTGTTCTCATGAAGGAACTGCAGTGGCAGATCCCCACAGCTTGTCTCTTCATCTTGGTTTTGTCACAGGAGCAAGTGTACTTGTGCTGGCTGCTTTCCCTTCTCTTCACCACTTTCCTGAGGGAAATAGCAGATCCCATATTTACTGAATATTCTTAGTGTGTTTAGCTCTATTGCCGAAAATTAGGTCCAAGGCCAAAGAGCACCTTCATTCTTGAAGGATACATGTGCTAAGTATAGAATCCTATGTTGATTGTTATTTTCCTTCAACTCCAAATATATCAGTCTGTTGTCTTATTAATCTTAGTGTTTCTGTTGAAAATTCTAGTATCAGGCTAATTATAGCTCCTTTGAAGTTAATCTTTTTTTTCCTTCTGGTTACTTTTTAGGGTCCCTGGGATGGTGATGGCGGTCGTTATTCTCTCTCCCTCCTTGCCTTTCTCTGTGTTTTGTTCCTATCTTGTCTCTTCATGTGCCTAGTATTTTTGGTTGTGTCCCAGATACTGTGTTTGTACAATGTTTTGTTAAAAGTATGAGGCCTGAGTGAGTCTGTTTAGTCTAATTTCAGTTACTGTGAGAACTCATAGCTGAGCTGCAGCCCCTGGGAGCCCTTTCTCATTTGTTCTTACTTTTCAGTTGTGATTTTTGTCACCTCTATCCAAAGCAGGACTGATTTACCAGTCCTTCCAACCCCCTCAGCAGGTCTTGGACTCAGATTCCTTGCACATCTGTCATGGAGACCTGCTTTTTATCACCTCACAGTTGCCCAAATCCAGAATCTGCAGTGTCTCCCAGAGCCAGTGGACTGTCAGAAACTGGGAGGGCTGACTTCACACTATGTCAGACTGTCGTGCAGGTGCCTGCTAACCCTGTATTCTCAAGGGCCGAGTCTTCTCACCTGAGCTGCTGGTGCCCAGGCCCAGAACAGTGCCTGGTGAATCAGTGATGCACAAGCCACGGTGGGACATAGGGTTTTCTATTTTTTATTTGAGTTTTTTATGATTACAGAAGTAATATGTTCAGTATAGAAGGTTGAAATGTAGAAAGTAAACATTCCCCTCCCGGAGTTAGCTTTCATTAATGTTGGTCACATTTCTTTCATTTCTTTCTTTCTCTGCACAGAGATTAATATATATATATGTATTTTTTAAGTGGGCACATAGCGCTGATACTATTATCTTTCCTCTTAGTATCTTTGACATCTTGATCTTGACTTGTAAGAGCTTATGGATCTCCCTCATTTTGTTAAAAAGCTGCAATAGCCAAATTGCTCCCAAGAAGATGGGAGCATCCGCTGTCCTCTGGATCTAGGCCGTTTCTCTTCATTCTTGTCTGCATTGCTGCTCATGATCTCTTTAAGCCTTGCCAATCTGATAAGTCAGCAGTATCTTGTCTTAGTTTGCCTTTCAGCTGGGCCTTTGTTTAATTACTTGCTCACACACCCATCTGCAGACTTTCTCTAAGCAGATTCTTGTTAGAGTGTCAGTACCATAGTTTTCATGAGCAGCTTCCTGGTAGGCAAAGCCAGGCTGGTGTCCTTGCTGTGGGCCCAGCTTTGCGCCTTCCTGACTGCTGGGAAGTCCTTCCTTCCCTCACATCACAGTAGCCCAGAGGCCCTAGAGCTGCCCTTCCAGCCCCCAGGCCCGATACCAGCGTCACCACCCTCAGGCTGGACTGAGACTGCAGGAGGCAGGTGGTGTGCCGGCTGAGAGTCCAGGGCTTCGAGTCTGCCAGACCTGGTTGTGGGTCCCTCCGTTTGAGGGAACACGGTGGGGACGGAAAGCCAGAAAGGAGTTGGCGCAGCTTGTGTTACAGGCCTGAAGGCCACGGCAGCCGCAGGCAACAGCAGAAGTTTCCGAATCAGACAGTCCTGGGCGTGAGTCAGGACATCCACTTACCTACTGTGGAGAAGTTATTTCAACTCTGAATGTGTTTTCTTTTTATAAAATATGTGACTCAAATAGGGATAGTAATCCTTCCACAAGATCTCAGGGGACAGGAACAGTGGGGATGGAGAAGAATCAGGGCTAACAGGTTTGGCTGGTATCAAGGAAAGTGAGTCAAGGTGTGAGAACCAACCCTGGAGAAGACTGGGGCCAGGGTGGGTGGAGTCTGGGCCTCAGCAGCCTTGGGACAGTCTGTGGCCTCCCTCTCCCTCCCTCCTGAGATGCTTGGGGATCTGTTCATCAGTGATACTTGGGACCGTGCTGCCTGGCCCTGTTCTGAGGGTCCCAACTTGCTCCAGGGTCTGTGCTGGGTCACTCCCAGTGAGTAGGCAAGCCTGGGGAGCTCTGACAGCCCTCTCTGCTCTCCCTCTAGCCTTGCTTCCTCAAGGACTGGGAGATGCACGTTCACTTCAAAGTTCATGGCGCAGGAAAGAAAAATCTCCATGGAGACGGCATTGCCTTGTGGTACACCCGGGACCGCCTGGTGCCAGGTAGGGTGGTGCTGGCACAGGTGGGCTGTCTGTGGCCAGGAACCCTCCACTCTGCACTCCTGTTAGGGTGCTGCTGCTCCCCTTTGAGGAAGCATGGGGCCTGGGGAGTACCTGGAGGGAGCGTCCTGGTCAACTCTGCCCAGTGTGGCCTGTCTTCTCCACCAGCTAGGAGGGTTTTACCATCCTATCATTTTAAGAAGGAAAAAACAAGGAAGACTGTGACAGAGACTCTCTGTGGCCCACGAAGCCTAAAATCTTTGCTCTCTGGCCTTGGACAGAAAGTTGGTGACCCCTGGATTCAGGGATGGTCCTTACTACATGACCACCTGGTTTTTTTTACAGATTAGGTATCCTCTTGCCCCCAATACCTCAGAGCACATAGACAGGTGCTGTTCCTTCACAGTTCAGACTTCAAACTAGAGTCCTTTCTGCCACATGCCTGAAACTACCCTTCCACCCCCCGCCCCACCCCACTTAGAGAGCCCTTCTTTTTCCTGGGAGCATGACCGTGGGCTAACCTCTTTTGACCCCATCCACGCTGGCGTTGCTCTGTCCTTCAGGTACCCATCGGGCAACTCCCAATTTCTCCCATCGCAGGAGCATCTCCTTCTAATTCTAGGGCCTGTGTTTGGAAGCAAAGACAACTTCCATGGCTTAGCCATCTTCTTGGACACGTACCCCAACGATGAGACCACAGAGGTAGGCTCCTGCAGAGCAGGACGGGACTTGTCCCTGGGCCCTGCGTGGGAGCAGCCTCCAGGGATCAGGGTGGTGGGTTCCCTGCGGCCTCCCACTGGCTGGGCTGCCCTCGGAGTGACCGGTGTCTTGTCTCAGCGCGTGTTCCCGTACATCTCCGTGATGGTGAACAATGGCTCCCTGTCCTACGACCACAGCAAGGACGGCCGCTGGACTGAGCTGGCAGGCTGCACGGCTGACTTCCGCAACCGCGATCACGACACCTTCCTGGCAGTGCGCTACTCCCGGGGTCGCCTGACGGTGAGCAGGCAAGAGGGGCGGCTCTGCGGGGCTTGGGAAGGCAGGCAGGCCGGCCCTGGGCCGCCCTTGACTTGCTGGCTGGCCGCAGGTGATGACTGACCTGGAGGACAAGAATGAGTGGAAGAACTGCATTGACATCACGGGAGTGCGCCTGCCCACCGGCTACTACTTTGGAGCCTCTGCTGGTACCGGCGACCTGTCCGGTGAGTGTGCGGGCAGTGCAGGGCATCCAGTCTCAGTCTGACCTTCCCTGCTCTCGGGAGCTTGTGACACGGCAGGTCCCTTTCCTCCTCGACCTGCCTTCATTTGGTCCCACACGTGCCTGGTTTTCTTCCCCCTCTTCCCGTGTGTGTGCAGTCCTTCAGCCATCTTCCCTCTCTGTCACCTGTGAGCTGGGGGGGTTGAATCTGGTGAACCCAGCGATGGACCCCCACGTGTCCCTCTCCAGACCCGAGGCACCAGCCACGTGCCCAGCAGGCCTCTCAGCCTTCACACGCCCACAGCCAGAGACAAACGAACCTCTGTTCTAGTGGTTACCTGGGTCAGAGCACCTTGGTGTTATTCCGGCCTCTGCTTTTTCTCTCACCCGCCACCTCCCATTTGTTGGCGTGTCGTGCTGGATGTGTCTTCTTTTCACCCTGCAGCAGACCACTCTTCTCCCTTCCTTTACTGCAGGCAGGTCTGGGCCACCGTCCTCTCTTGCTTAGACAATTGCAGGAGCCTCCCGAGTGTCCCCTCATCCCAGCACCACAGCCAAGCTACTCCATCCACCTCACTCAGAGCTGAGGATGCTGCCCTCCCAGCAGTGGTCCTGTTGCCTTCCACCACATTCCCTCTGCCCCATCCTCTATGCTGACACTGCCCCTAGCCACTCTTCAGACCCACCCCTGCCCTCCTGCCTGGGGCCTTTGTGCCTGCATCTCTCCAGGTCTTGCTCAGATATCTCTTTCCCAGTGAGGCCATCCCTGATTCCCTCATTTAAAGTCGCACACACACAGACCCCAGTCGCCTGCACACTTCCTGTCGCCTTTTCTAGCTTTACTTTTCTTGATAGTATTTAACCACCCTAGTATCCACCGTGTCATTCACTTCATTGTCGTGTCCCCCTCACTGAATCGTGAGCTCTATGGAGTCAGGGCTCTGTCGTGTTTGGCCCGCGGTGAGTGCTGTAAGCTTTGGCGTGCTCCCTGCCTGTACAGGCCTCTTGGGACACCAGGCCTGGGTGGCGCTTGGCGCTGGTCCTTAGTCCCTTCTCAGGGCCCTCGGGAGGCACCGTACCTGGGGTCAGCTCTTGTTGACCAGAGCTGAGAACAATGTGGCAGACCAGACAGAGGCTTGTTTGTTGTCAGGATAGATGTTTCCAGGGCCTATGAGCCAGCCACTGTCCAGGAGCGTCCCGGTCACCATATAAGTGTCTGGGTCCATTTGCTTCCCGGAGTGTCTATTGTTTTAAGGTTTCTAATATGGAAATTCCAATTGTATACCCACAAGAGGGAAGATGGTGTGATAAGCCCCTTACTGCTGTTACTCAGCTTCAGTAATTACCAGCTCGCGGCCTGTCTTGTGTATTTTGTGGACCCGGTACAACCCGTCCCTGGGTTACCTGGAATTCCATCTGACAGTGTTTCAGCAGGTGTCATGAGAAAGTTCTGGAAACAGAGCCAGGTCTCTGACAGGGGTTATTCTCTGAGTCTGTCTGGAGAGGCCCTGAGAAGGGCGATGGAGGGGCCTTGCCTGCGGTAGTGCGTGACCCTTAGGCGGAGGGGCGTGCATGCCAGCCTCCCGCCAGGTGTCTCATGGCTGTTCTTAGGTAGGTCACTCTCTCTTTCCCCTTTTGTACAGCTAAGACCATTGGGCATTTGGGAGTTGGAGGGAGGTGAACATCAAGTTCGGGCACCCAGGAAGTGACAGAGCTCAAATGGGACCTGCTATCTGACTCCAGGGTCCCTGCTTGTCCCTGGGCTTCCAGGCCTGCACACACCGGGTGCCTGGTACACTGGTTTCTGCCTGACCTGGCCGCAGGGTCCTTGCTGTTTACGCTTTCCCCCTTTTCCTGGCCTTTATTCAGATTCCAGTCAGTTAGCTGAGCTGATAGCTGGTGGCAGGCTGCCTAGGACCCTCGTCTCAGTTCTGAGCCTCAACCTCTCCATCTCAAAACGGGATTGTCAGTTACTGTCAGTGTCAGGCAGAGGTCCTCTCCTGCCCACAGTAGTGGACCGGGGCCTGCCTCACATCTCCCCAGGTACAGTCAATGACTGTCATAGCCGAGCTGTCAGCACTTGGGTCTCTGTGACAGAGCGTCTGGCGGCTGCCCACCCCCAGGAGGGTCAGGCTTCTCAGCCAGCCATGCAGCAGTGTGTGGGTCTTTACCTGGTTCTGTTTTCAAGGACATACTACCTCCAGGCAGTTTACCTTTGTCCCTGTGTGTGCTTTCTCATTTACATGCCTCAGTAACCACAAGATGGAGATTACCACCCCCATTTACAAATGAGACTGAGCCTCAAAGAGGGTAGCAGAGCCAGGATCAGACCCAGCGATGCTGATTGTAAAACCTGTGCTTTTTCCTCTCTGCTCTGCTGCTTCCCAGGTTTCTTATTGCTGAGTTCTGGAGTATTCCAGCCCCTGGAATACTGCTTGCTGGAGGCTGCTGGGTTCTCTGCAGGGGACCTGGCCACTCTGTGTGGTGGGGGCCGGGAGAGGGTTGAGCCACGTGCGCCAGAGTGGCTCCATGCCCCTTAGAAGCTAACTCTCGTCATGATTGCAGACAATCATGACATCATCTCCATGAAGCTGTTCCAGCTGATGGTGGAGCACACACCAGATGAGGAGAGCATCGACTGGACCAAGATTGAGCCCAGCGTCAACTTCCTCAAGTCGCCCAAAGGTATGCTCGCACAGCCCCTACCGGCGGGGCCTGGGCTGGCTTAGGAGCTGCCCGGGGTCCATCTGCCCTTCCTGGGACCAGCTCAGCCCTTGAATCAGCAGCTAGTGCTCGTGAACAGGTGTGTGAGCCCCTGGCATCTGCATCGTCCTGCACTCAGTGCTGGGATAACGGCCAGTGAGGCCAGAGGGGCTGTTTGCTGGTGCAGGCGCGCTGATACCTCAGTGCGTGGCCTCAGCAAACAGCCTGCAGTAGGTCCTACAACTGCTAGGGGAGCTGATCCTTAGGCTTCCTCAGCTAGAAAGAGGTAAAATGGCGGGATGCAAACTTGAGTTTTGGCAAACCTCCAGGTCTGAGACTTTTGCAGGGTAGCAGTCAGCCACCACTCCATCCTCACAGAGAGAGGGTTTTCAGGATGGATGGGGAGTGAGGTCCCTGTGTGTGTGTGTGTGTGTGTGTGTGTGTTGTGAACTCTACTTCAGGAGCCCCAAAGTCGTGCGTGGGGGCCCAGCGGGAGATGGAGTACCACTGGAACCCAAAATTTTATGTGACATTTCACTTTTTAAAGATTCAAGTTGCTTTTAAACGTTTGGGGGCCAAACAACCCCTGCCATAGACCACTGATTTGCAACCTTCTGTTGAAGGCTTCCTGCTGCCAAGGCTTTTGGACACATCTGCTCCAGCCTACCCAGCAACCTATTCAGCTGGCCTGGCAGGGGTTGATTCCTTGTCAGACAGGTGGGCCCACTGGGCTAGAAGGTCAAAGCGAAAGGACGGAGGTTGGGGGTCAGGGCCCTGGGAGCATCCCCAGGAGGCACTGAATACGTCCACATGTGAGGGAGGGCAGCCTATGGCCAGGGCCATGTTTCTTCAGCTGGGGACCTCATACCACTGCACTGGACTGGGGGTGGTCTTGGGAAAACAGGTCCTGGGCCCGCCTAGGCAGACTCAGGCTGTCAGGGAGATCCCAGGTGTTCAGCGTTCACCAGCTTCTTGCAGCAGAAGGCACCTCAGCCTGGATCTCAGGGAACCTTGGTCCCTGTCGCTCTGTGCATACTCCTGCCTCTTGCTGGAGCCGTGCGAGCAGGCCACAGCTGCTGCCTTGAGGGTGGGGTGGGGGGCCTTTATCACGCTGTCTCCAGGGAGCCCGTTCGGCCCCACATTTCCCCCTCTCTCCTCCCTCAGACAATGTGGACGACCCAACGGGGAACTTCCGCAGCGGACCCCTGACGGGGTGGCGGGTGTTTCTGCTGCTGCTGTGCGCGCTCCTGGGCATCATCGTGTGTGCCGTGGTGGGGGCCGTGGTGTTTCAGAAGCGGCAGGAACGGAACAAGCGTTTCTACTGAGCAGCCAGCCCGTGGCTTGGGGAAGGGCCCTGGCGCTAATGTGAACTTTTTTTTTTTTACTAGGATTGTAAAAGGAAAATAAGATGACCTTATTTCTTAACCATTTCAAAGAAATAATTAAAGTATTTTCATATATTTTGCTTCTTGCCCAATGGGGAGTAAGGCTGCAGGGCTGGGGAATAAGGGTTTTCCATGCCCACAGCTGGGGGCAAAGGCTCCGGCCCTGTGCAGGCCTCTCAGGAGCAGGGGGTCTGTGCCTGGTGCTGGGCCGAGAGCCTGGCAGGTGGCTGTGAACACTGGAGGGCCCCCCAGGCCACACTGGGGTGGGCGCCTGAGGACACAAGCAGTGATCATGTTCTGTGCTGTGTGGTATGTGTGGCAGAAGAGGAGGCCAGCTGGGGAGCCTGGGTCTTCACGCTCCGAGCTTCTTCCCAAGGCAGACCCTTGGGTGAGGCTGGAGGAGCAGTTTGGTGGTTTGCTAAATAAAGTGAAATAACCAACCTCAGTTGTGTGGCTGCCCTAAGAGGTCTGCTTTTCCTTTCTTCGAATGACTTCCGGGTGCTTTCCAGCTTCAAACCTCATCCCCTCAGGCGTGGCCTGGCCCCAGGAGGCAGGTGCTGTGGTCTCCATTTCCCAGTTGGGGAATCAGTTGTTGGAGGTCAAGCAAAACTTGCCCGGTGACCCACAGCCGCTGGCAACATGGGGTGGGGCCTGCACTCTCTCCACGCACCCTGGGCCTCTGTGAAAGCACCCACTGAGGGGAGGATGTGGTTCCCACACGGAGGGTGTGACTTCCCACCCAAGGGCTTGTGGGTCAGCAGTGGTGTTCCCATTCGTGTCATGGCTGGTCAAAGGTGGTTTACGACGTGAAGAAAGCCCACAGTGGTAAGTGCCACATGTGGCAGCCTCTGAGGCTCACTCCGAGTGCAGCTGGTTGCTGCATCCAGTCTCGCCTGACCCCCGCCTGCCACGGGACGGGTCCCCTTCCAGCCCAGTTAAACACTCACAGTGTTTAACTTCTTCCCACTCACAGTTAAACATTTCAGCCACCACTGACTTCCTCATAATGTTCCTTCTCCACAAGGAGAGTCATGGGACATCCGATAAATTGAGAGTGTTTCTTCACAATCTCCTTTATTCTTTCCTCCAAAGACTTGGTTAGGTCTTTCAGACACGGAATAGCCTTTGTTCTTCAGCCCGTAGGTTTGCCTCTGTTAGTCCTAACTGGACGATCCTCCTACAGAAGGCTATAGTGGTGATAATGGCCACTTTCAGTAGCCAAATAGGTAGAATAAAACCCAGCACCAAACTGTTCTGTCACAGAGAGCTCCGTAGCAGCCTGCAAAGCCTCCATGAGTGCCTTGGTCCCAGACTTGGGAAAGCACCAGGGTTATTGATCAGTGCATCCTTGGTTGTCCCCATTTTGGTGTCCATGGCTGTGAGGGTTCGATTTTACTCGTCTGGAATGAGACTAATGTGCAGCTCTTTCCCACATTTTAGTTTACTGGTGTCTGTCAATCTTTCACATCATAATTTTGTCCAGAGCATCTGATGATTTAGAAAAAAGCTCCCTCAGAGCTGTCTATTCGAGTGGTAATTATTGCTGCTCAGTAACGTCAACTGGGTAATTGCTTCCTGAAAGGCAGACATCTTGACCTCCTCCTCTGTCGGCTGGTCTGGGGTCTGGGTTTCCTCAAACATCTTGGCTAAAGAACCACACGGATTTTTTTAGCATCAATGCGGCACCAGGACACAGAAGCAATTGAACCTCCATCTTAAAGCAAGCGCAAACCCTTGCTTCCAGGTGTGGGCAGGCTTTTTGTAATTGACATTATCAGACTTTCATTGTAGAATAGGTAATGTAAAAGTAGATGAGGTGAAGAGTGAGAACTTATTTTCTCAGTCTTTCAGGCTCACTCCCAGAGCTCTTTGTTGGCCTACTGTTAACCATCTGCTGTCCCTCTCGATGTTTCCTGTGTGTATGGCTTAGGTGTCGAGAGATTGTTCACACGCTTGACTTTGAGGGGTATGAGCTGTGTTTCTGTCATATGGGTTTGGGAGCTTGTTCATGAAGCTATAAGAGTAAACATGCTCCTCCTTACTGAAACATTTTATTAAGCACTTACCTCAAAATGGTTTCTTTACTCGAAAAGTAGCTAACATGGACTGCGCACTGTGTGCCCAAGGATTTGGTTCTAAGCAGTTGACATGAGTTAACTCCCTTCACTCCATGCCCTTATGGATGCAGGAAATCTGTAGGGAGAGCTCACTGAGGCTCCGCCTCATTGAGCATTTCCCTCGTGGAGGGGAGCGCCATGACCACACTGACATGCACAGCCGAGGCCTGGAGTCTGGACGCCCCTCCACGACTGCAGCAGACATGTCATCTGCAGCCCACTCGCCGTGCTCGGTGTCCCCTGAATTCCTGAAGTAGACAAGTTGGCATCTGATACTCTGTAATTCTCACCCTTGACCGCATGTTAAAGTCACCTAGAAAAGGAAAGTGAGCCTGCCTTCTTCTCCAGCTCTGGTGTAAGAAGGTGGGGCCTGGGCAAGGGCAGGCCTTTTTGGTTTTGTTTTTTAAATATGTATGTATATTTTAATAATTTTATGTATTTAATTTTGGTGGTGCTGGGTCTTCCTTGCTGCAGGCTCTTCTCTAGTACAGAGGGGGCTGCTCTCCAGTTGCAGTGCTCAGGCTTCTCATTGCGGTGGCTTCTCTTGTTGCGGAGCACGGGCTTCAGGAGTTGCAGCTCCTGGGCTCTAGAGCACAGGTAAGTAGTTGCGCATGGGCTCAGCCACTCTGTGCCATGTGGGATCCTCCTGGACCAGGGATTGAACCCATGAGTCCTGCATTGGCGGGTGGATTCTTTGCCACCAGGGAAGCCCAAGGGCAGTTTTAAAAGCACTCCCTCCCCTGCCCGGGCGGTTGTGATGAGAAGCCAGGCTTGAGAAGCAGCAGGTGTCAGGCCCCTGATTTGAAGGCAGAGCGTAAAGTGATGGTGTTGGTCTTTGCTTGACTGTCAGGGTCTTGTTTATATTCCTCTCAAAAGTCACACTCGGGTGCTTCCTCAGAAAATTAGATGGTTAGATGTATGTTCTTAATCTGTCTTTTCATACCCTGGGATCATGATGCTGTAATCATCATGATGTTTTTGCCAAGTGTGTTTAAAAATTGAGTTATTTGGTCATCTCAAAGTTATATATAAATGCATATCCCTGGACCTGCTATGCAGTGTGAGAAAAACATTTCAAAATGTTGGCATACCTCTTCATCCTCTGCCCTAAACCTGTGCCCTCCCCTCAGATGTGACCACTGCTGGTTCTGACTTTTTATGTGTTTCTAAAAAATTTTACCATGGAAGTGTGTATCCCTCAGTACATAGTATTATTTTGCATTTTAAAAATTATAAATGGTACACAAATGTATTCCTCAATGTCTATTTGTTTATTTCTGGCCTCACCACTTGGTTTGCAGGATCCTCATTCCCTGACCAGGGGTTGAGCCCTGGCCTGTGGCAGTGAAAGCATGGAGTCCTGACTCCCGGACCACCAGGGAATTCCCTTCCTCAGTGTTTAAAATTCAGCGTTGTTTGTGAGCCTTTGGACTACATGTAGCTCAAGAGGTGGCTGAGCAGGCTCCAGTCCCATTCTGTACTGCTGGACATTTAGGCAGTTTCCAGATTTTGCCCTTAGAGCTCTGCTCTGCACAATTCATGAGCAGTCTTCATGCACAAGTGTACAGGAGCTACTGTTGTAACCCACATGAGTTTCAGTTTTATTACAGGTCAGGGTGCTCTCCAAAAGGGGTCGTATCCATTCCACACCTATATTGGCTGCTGTCCCACTGCCGCTTCTCAGCATTTGATGTTAAAGTGTTTAATTGTTGGTTGTCTGATGAGTGTACAGAAGTCTTCATTTGTGTTTCTCTTCTTGTCAGTGGAGGATCTTTGTATCCTCAAGGAGGCATTAAGAAATTGGGATGCCCTTTGGTTGGGGCTCAGGTCTTCTCTTCCAGTCTCCATCCAGGACTTCCCAAGAGCAGAACCCAGCAGGAGGCTGACTGGCTAAGGAGCGTGGCAAGCATAGTTTACAGAGTTCCAGACACAGCACCACACAACAGGATAAAAATGTGGGCTTGTGGCTTACAGACGATGACTAACCCGCAGACAGCAGGCTCCTGGGCACGCGGCTGCTTGGAGGGTGGCCCACCAGGGTCCCTGGACCTGCCACTGCTGCAGAGGGCATTCACAGGGAGAGAAGTCAAACTTGCATGAGTATGTAGTTTCCTTTTACTCATGGTTGAAGTTAATTCTAACTCATGCAAGTGTGATCAGAAGGAGAATCTAAAATGTAGAAGGAGGAACAACATTAAGTGGCTAAGTTGGTAAATTTAGTAGAAACTTCACTTGTCATTGAGAATGTGGGAGGGAGTGGATCTCGTGGAGAGGCAATGTTAGGAGGGGAGTGGGCAAACCCTGCTCTGCCTTGCTTGAAGCCTTGTGGAGGAGACAGCGATTCATAATAAACTGGGTGGCTTGAGGCAGATGCTCCTAGTCTCAGCTGATACACTCAGACACCACTGCTTAGCTGAGCACTCCAGAAATCTCAGTGCCTGAACCGGGATCCCCTCGGTATCCTGTGGTACTAATCTTAAGTACTCAGCATTAAACCGCCATTCTGGGAGGGACAGAACAGGAAACCAACAGAAATTGCTTGGGATTTTGGTTATAAATGGCTATTTTAAAAATATGCACTGACTTGCCTTCCTGGTCTCTCTGCTCTCCAATTCTTGTGTTCCAGGTCCTTTTGCATTTTGTTTTGTGGCATATGCCTATTAGATACTCTCTTAGAGTCGGTTCATGGGAAGTTATCATTCTGAATTCTCTATCTGAAAACAGGTTTATTTTTATCTTATACTTGTGTTTAGTGTGGTCAACTATAAGTCTGATGTCATCTTCTGATTCTTGCTCCTCTCTGATTCTTCTTTCCAGAAGTTT